TAGATGCCCAGAGGTGCTTCCCTGGTATCTCTGCTGAGTTTTGCAGATGTTCCTGCAGGGCCCTGTGGCCCTTTCCTCACTGGGATTTGCACCAAGGGCCTTTTCATTGAGCTCCAAGCTGAACTGTTTTGTATTATTTATTTTGACTCAGTGATTGCTAAATTGCTAAGCTGCCCAAGCTGGACCTCAAAATGCAATCAGCCTCCCAAGTGGCCTCAGCCACCCCAAATGCTAAGACTGCAAGTATATGCTTCCACACCTGGCTACCTTCTTAGGTGTAGAAATATTAAACTTGCTGTATGTTCCTTCAAAATCATGCAAGATGAGAAGTGTTAATTCATTCCTGTATGTGTGATTGTGGTAAATTTTTAGACAGCAGCTGCATTTTTATTGAAAAATGATTTTTTTTTCTCAACACATCTTGAAGTCAGGGTTTTTACAAGGGAATATACTTAATACAGGACACATAATTTACAGGATTATTTCATGATATTTACCTAAAAAGTCAAATGCCAAAGAGAGCAAGAGATTAGCCACACTAGAGCCACAAAGAATCCAGCCAAGGGCCCAGACCCCACAGTGTCCCCCACAAATCCAGCTAAAGGCTTACAGTCCAAGGCAATGTCCTCCACAGGTCCAGCCAGTGGCCTAGAGCCTACGGCAATGTCTCATGTTTGTATTTAGGATCTGTACCCAGAAGGCCCAAAGTGGAGGAAGCCAGAAACCTATGCCACAGGGTTAAAGGATTTATGCCCTAAGGCTGAGGAATCCATCCTGGAGCCAGGAAGTGATGCCCTCTGTGAAGATCAGGACTCCCCTGAGGAAAACAGCAGCCATTTCTAGGAACAGAAAGGCCCCAAACTCCTCCAATGACAACAGCCAACTTCACATCAGGAAAACCATCCCCAGGAAGCTTCTCCTAGAAAATCAACAGCCAAAGATCTTTCCCTATAGTTCTCTTTTTATGGCTGTTGGTGACAATCCTCAGTTGGATCCTCATGGTGATTCGGTTCAGCTGGGCATTACAAGTTAACCATTAGTCAATCCACCACAACTGAGCAGTCAGAAGCTGGGTTGAAAAGTTGTCGAAAGATGATGTTACCTCACTGGTTTCAGGGAAAGGATTTTCAAATTGCTTCTGCTGGTTTGATGGGATTTTAGTTCAGTACCTCCTGTAATCTGATTCTAGAAAAGCAAAAGAGTCAAATTCAGAGTGGCTCTCAGTGGGGGCACTGTGAGAAGACTCCAGTCCTGCGCTGCTTGATGTCACATCTGGTCAGGACACCTGGTAGATGTGGTTGGGGCCTTGCTGGGTGTTCCCAGGGGTTTCCTCTCACTCAGGCCCTGCCTGGCCCCTCTGCCACCTTGGGAACATCAGGATTCCTTAGGGAACCATCCTTCAGGTGGCAGCATGGCCGTCCTGCTGGTTGTGTCCTGAGAAGCTGCTGTGTTCTCAGCACTAAGAGTTGGGGTCACTTGTCCCTGCTTTTAGTAGGATGCTCATGGACCACACCAGACCTGCCCTGCTGCCCACCCCACTCCAGAGACAAGGGAGAGTTGTCTGCATGCAGCCCAGTGCCCAGCCAGCATTCCGCAGGTGGGGCATAACCCTCAGTTATTGATGCATGTTTTGCTTTCATGGAGTATGGAAAATATGTAGCTTTTTACAAATTAAAGCCCATAGAATATTTTCATGTCCTCTTTGATTTTGGTTTGATATCTATTCTTAAATTTATTTTTAAAGACTGTTATCCTTTAAATTCTTACTGGTCTCAAAATGCTGCTAAGAGGTCACTGATAATACAGTGTTTACAAAATACAGAAAGGCATATTATCAGTGTCTCTGAGGCTATCAGTAGACACTGTTCATCTTAATGTCCTGAGCAGATCATTAGATTTTTCATCAAAACCCTGGAAGTCAAGAAATTGGTTTTTATTTACAGTGTGGAATGAAAACCAAACCAAACCAGCCCTGTCAGCTACTAATTCTGTATCCAGCAAAACTGTCCTCCCACATGAGGAAGAATTTAGGACATTCCCAGAAGCACAGGCTGAAGGCCATACCAGGCCAGGGGCCTAAGAATGTCCCTGGAAGAAGGCAGTAAAGCCGCCAACTGAATAAAACTAGGGTCTGGGTACAGCAAGTTTCCCCAGCTTCCCAGTGAATATTTAGGGTGAGCTGTCCTACCCAGGGCTCTGCAGTTCCTCACAGAGAGAACATCTTCAGAAGTGGGGGAAGGGCTCAGGGATGTCCCCACCCCCAGTGGAGTCACAGCAAGGTAAAGACATGGGGATGATCATGTGAAGGCAGAAGGCCAGGGGTGCTGTCTTCACCCTCAATTCTCTCCCTGTACCTGGAAGGAAGGGGTTTGCTCCCCACTAGGGTGAGGAGGAATGAGGACCATGTTCTACAGCAGCCTCCTGACATGCACATGATCACAGACAGGAGTGTGAGGGGTCCATCTACATTGAATGTTGGCACAGTCAGAGCCTGGGAGGAACAGCTGAAGAGCGCCAGCTCTCTCTCTCCACAGGCTTGGGTTCTTGTCTCAGCTCCTCCCATTCACTGCCTGAGGGCAACACCAAGATCCTTTCAGCTTTGGTTTCCCCTTGCTGAGATGGAGGTCGGTGCAGCTGCTTGCAGGGGTGTTGCTGAATGTGGGTCCTGTGTGTGACTGAAGCTGTCTCTCTTCTCCTCCCTGGGGCCTGGTGAACACCTCAGATGTGTTCCTCCCACCCCTCTGGTCCTTCCTCTTCCAGCTGTCCCCTGTCCTACTTTGTGGCTCTGTTGGTTCATAAATAGGGACTGTGCAGTCCCAGGGTGCTGACTCCAGCATGGCCTCTTGCTTCATGTCCCTGGGCTTTGTCAGGATCCTGACCCACCTGAACCTCAGCCTCATCCTGTCAGAAACAGGATGACAGGGAGATGGGTGCTTGATGCCCCTCTTGGAGCCCGCTGCACACTAGACACTGGAGAATACCAGTTCCCTGGGCACTCGGGTAACCGAGCCTACCTCCTGCCCTGACAAGTCTCCCAGTACCTGGCAGCTGAGTGCTAACCAAGCTCCAAGGCTCTGACACATTTTGGAACAGGATGGTCCTGGATTCTCCTTTAATTCAGTGCATGACCCTTGTTACTCTGGGTGGGGAAGTAGATCACAGTGTGGCCAGTGCCTGATGTCCTGTGGGATGGGCATGTGGGGCAGATGCTGGGACATGGGAGGGACCTGCTCACTTTTAGGTTGCAAGCTGTAGAGAAGGGTACCTGGGAATGGCCCCACCTTCCAGCCCACACCCTAGAGGAGATTAGAGGAAGTCTATGGTCTATTTCTCCAGTCTCAGGGCATCACTGCCCCCTTGGGCTGTGGCCAGGCTCTGTGGGCTTCATTTCCCCTATAGAGGAGTGGGCATCTCCCACCCCAGTGCTCTCCCAGGCTAACCACGGGCTTCTGGCAGCCAGCGCTGGTGTTGCCAAGACACTGCATTTCCATAGGGATAGTGAAGGTAGGTGGGGGACACATTTCTAAGCAGCCCCAAGTGGGTAGGGGCCCCACTTATTTCCAAGACCGAGACCCCAAGGGAAGTATGGGGAATGGGGAATATTGTGTTGGGTTCTGAGGAATCTCAGGTTCCAGTCTGATGATAGCTTTCTCCACAGGTCTTTTGCTTCTTGGCATCGGCTGTGCACTTCCCACACTGCAGAGGAGGTCATGGTGCCTGAGTTGGGGACAGCATCCTGACATCCAGGATGAAGACTGGAGCCCATGCTCCTGGCCCACACCCAGGAGTGTGTGGCAAGGTGGGTCATGGGATGCTGGCCACGGGGGTGGGGCTCAGGGTAGAAATTGTGCCTTCCGGGACTGGGGATCAAGCTCTTATCTGGCAAGAGTATTGGAGGGAGTATCCAGCTATGTCCAGGCCAGGAGCTGCCCCCCTCCCTCCCTGTGCTTGGGCTGCTTAGTGCTCCTAAGTCTTTCCTGGGAGGTGCAGGTAGAATCGGGGCATTATCATTTAGAAACAGGGGCACAGCCTTCCCCTGCTCCACCCACACAGAGGTCTCCAGACCTCCAGAGGCTGTGGCTAGTTGCACAATGGAATTGGCTGTTCCATGATAGCAGTGCCCCACCCGCTGCCACTGCACCACTGGGGTTTGAGCCATGTCCCCAAACCTCACTCACACCATGAAAAGTGGTGACAACCATGTCCATCCTGCCAGGAGCACCCTGCGGGTGCTATCGACATTTCTGTGACAGCCCATTACATCTCCTAGAAACATCCCCGTGGGGCCTGGGAAGGGTGCAGGATATTGGCATCTTTGTTTCTGTCTCTCAGAAGCACTGATCTCCCTTTGCGTCCTCATCCCCAGGGTGGTACCTGTGTCTGCACAGCTGGGAAAAACTGTTGAAGTGCTGGCTGTCATTGTGAGGCACCAGCCCCACCCTGTAAGACACAGTTCCAGGGGCAACAGGTGACCCTGTGGAACACCAAGGTGTGGAATTTCACATCCCCAGCACCTCCTTCCTGTCATCTTGACATTTCTATAGCAACCAAAGGAGCTCCTCTATCAGTCCTCAGTATAGGGACCCAAGACACCAACTCCGGGAGTTTCCTTGGAGTTTTTCTGTATAATTGTGGTTCTTTGTCTATTCTATTATTTTTAATATTATTTTCTATTTTTCAGGGAGAATTTTCAATGAGAAAGTCTTTGTGATTTATGTGTTTCCTGAGGTTCCCATCACACATAATATGATATTCAGGGGAAAACATCACCAAGTAAAACACAGTAAAGAAAGTACATGATGATATCCTGGAACACAACTCTGAGTCCATTTGACCACTTTTCTAAAAATCATATTTTTTTCAAAAGTGATTTACATTTAGAAAAAAATCATGAGATTTGAGAAGAAATATCTCCATCAAAGTCACATACCAATTGTTACTGTCCACTGATTATTATGTTTCTGCCTGGCCTTAGGTGCAGGAATCGACCTCAGATGTGGCTCAAGCCCTGGAAGTCACCAGGTCTCCCTCACTCCTGTGACCGCTTGAAGTATGGACTGGTGCCCCTTCTGTGTACAAGCATCTGCCTTCCTGTCCTTCACTCTGGCTGTGACACCAAGCTGGGAAGAAGCAGGACCATCCTTTTGTTTCTCAGCAGACAGTTGGGAGCCTGCAGTGGTACGTGCTGGCAGGAGTTTGTGCATTCACCAAAGTAACCTCCTGCAGGAGACTTGGTGGCCAGCCTGAGATCTAGGAGCTGTCACTAGTTCCTGAGACCAGTGTCATGGGTGTGTGATTGGGTATGTCAGTCTGAAGGTCCCCCAGGCTATGTGGAACAGAAATGACACAGCTAGACCGTGAAAGGACCAAAATTTTTCCATCAGGCTATGAACTTGACATTGGGTGTGTGTCTGGGTCTAAGTTTGTATCAGCGTTTCCCTTGCTGGGACAAACCCCTGACATGAGAATCTTGAAGAAAAGGTTAATTTGGGCTCATGGCTTCAGTGAGTGCAGTCCATGGTCAGGTAGCTCCAAGGAAAAACCATGGTGAATGGGTATTGTAGAGGAAAGCTGCTCAACTCATAACAGCCAAGAATCAGAGAAAGGAAGAGGCTGGGGACAGAGTCCACCCTCCAGGTCAGGCTCCAGTGGACACACATCCTCTATACACTGAGCTTTGAACTCATTGGATTAATCAATCCATGGAGGAGGACAAGCCTCTATGACCCAGCCACCTTCTAAAGCTCAGTCTCAAAAGAAGGAACATATGGAGGACATTTTCGATCCAAACCATACCAGATGGATGTTGGGGGGGGGGTATGTGTGTATGTGTGTATTGAGTGTGTAAGCATGTCTGGTGGATGAATGGTGAGCATGCATGCATAGGTGTCTAGTGTATGGGCAGTAGTCCAGGTGGGTGCACACAGGTGGAGAGTATGGATTGGTAGTGAGTGTGAACACTTGGCTGTCTGGAAGTTGTGAGCAGGTTGATGATTGTGCATGTAGGTGTGAACAGATGAGTTGTTTAGTGTGTGAGGATGACACGTGGGAATAGGTGAGTGTGTGCATATGAGCAGGTGAGGAGCTAGGATGTGGTAGTGAAAGTAAGGAGCATCTGTAGTTGTGAGCATGTGTGTACAAGTGTGAGTGTGCATACTTACCCTGACCACTCTGGTTTCCCCATGCAGGCACAGGACCAGGGGCTGAGGCCTCCCATGGTGACTTTCCTCACTAGGCTGACAGTTGCAGAGGGATGCTGCAGCCTGGCATGTTCTTGGAGGTTCCTGGTTGCCATGCCTACCATTGATGTGACGACCACAGGTTGTGAAGTGGACTCCTTAAGACCCAGGCACATGGAGTTCAGAATCCAGCCTGTCTCCAGATGCAGGTAGAGGCTGGGCCAATTAGCCCCAAGGTCAGGATGGCACAGAGCAGCCCACCCCTGTTCAGGCAGACCTCATCCTTCCTTTGCAAACCCCATCTACCCTTGGGCCATGCCAGGTGCAGGCTGCACATGCAGGGCTGAGGGTTGGCCCAGGCTGGCCCTTGATGCCCTCACACCCCCGTAGGAGAGGTGTGTACAGCACCCTCCCACAGACAGCAGTGGGATGGGATGAGGAGAGCCCCTGGACCCGGGGCTTCTGGATAGGAGACCAGAGAGCTTAGCAACACCCTCTCTCTTGGAAGCTGGGACTCTTGAAATGGAAGGCCCAGGAGGGCAGAAAGGAAAATTCACAATGAAAGGGGCCCGAGCTCCCCAGACCAGCTATTTTCAATTTCTCTCTATGAGCACAGAGCCCAACTCTGGTGTTTGGCCCTGAATGGCACTGGACTGTGTAACTGCAGTGGTGGCAGGTGGGGTGGTCACCTGCAACTGAGCCTCTGCCAGGCCCGCTGTGGCATCACACTGAGTGTATGACTGCTCCTTCTCCCTCCAGGCCATCATCCTCCCAGTGGGGACCAGCTAAGTGTGAAAATGGAGTCCTATGGTGGAGCCCGCTGAGGCCGGGCCCCACTGGACCCCACACCTGGCCTCACCATAGCCCCTGTGTGCTAGTCTCCAGCCACAGCTGTCCTGTCTGCTGCAGAAGAACAAGCAGGTGCTCAGTGTGGGCACTCAGGAGGGAGGGGATGGTCTGGAGCTGGGCACAAGACTTGGTCTCCTCTACCCACAACTTGACTGTGGTGTTGGCCAGGGTACCCAGGCCAGGGGCAGCTTTCACTCCCCACGAGGACCCAGGGCCTGGAGAGGCATGGACTTACAAGAGCTCAGCTGCCGCAGATGCTGTGGCTGACAGAGCTCACCTTAGAGGCCTCGGTTTCACAGGGGTGTGGAGGGCACATGCATCATCAGGCCTCCCTTGGCTTTGGCGTGGAGAACTCAAATGTTTTCCTGGGCTGGTGACCTGTGGCTTGATCCTCTTTAGGTCCTGGGCAGCTGCAGCTCCCGCTCAGCCCTGTGGTCTGGAGGGAGGGAGAGAGTGGCCATTGTGCTGTGCTGCATTGCTCCATGACACATGCTGTGCAGCCCTTTGTTGTAAGACAGCTCTGATGAGGGAAGTGTCCTAGTGTCCCACACACTTATGGCCAGCAGGCTGAGCTGTGGGGCTGTGGATGCCAGGCAGATGGGCTGTACTTCACTTCACTTAAGTGATCAAGACCCTGACACACACAAAGTCTTTCTTTTCTAAGTCAGTACTTTGTAAATGTCATTAAAATGTCTATCATCTATCTACCTATCTACCTATCTATCTCTCTATATATTTTAGAAAATCCTTGTTTTAATCACAGAGTATTAGATTTTAGTTTTCCATTAATATTTTAGTGTGATTTTAAAGTGTCATTTAAATTATGGTTATCTTACCTTACCAACAAAATTTTAAAATTTTTCTTTCGCCGTCTGCAACCTGCCCAGACACAATACAACTATTTAGATCCTTAATTTTTATTCTATCTTTTCTTTTTTATTATTCATAGAAAAATCTGGTGGTATAGGACAAAAATTATACTTGTCCTTGGAGGGAAACTGGAGATGGTGGCAGGGGCTCACAGTGAGGAAGGAGTGTCTTAGCAGCATTCAGCCCTTTGATATTTAATACATTCACAATGGGGCCATCATTCATGTCTCCACTGCTGGGCAGCTCAACCCCTGGTGCAGTACATGTGTGACTGTCCCATCATGCAGCTTGTACCTCTGCTTGTACTAACAGATTGTACAACCTTTATTGGTGTTTTTACTAATAAAATTAATTAAAAAGCCACCTATTGTGACAGTCATGCATGTACCACTGGTGGTCAGGTCAGCAGGAACTTGCAAATGGGACTTGTGAGGCTTGAGAATACTATGTGGATATTTGTTTTCTGTTTGAATAGTTTGTTCTTTCCTCACCCTTTCCTGCCTTCTAGGACCCAGGGGCTCTGCTGGGGGCTCCAGGCAGCAGCTGGACAGTGTTGTGGGTGTTCAGCAATGGCGTGAAGTTTTAATGCCCTAGATGTGGATTTTGAAAATAGAACAGTTCCATTTTATTAAAATCAGTGCTTATGAAGACAGGTGAAACATGGACACAGGAAAACAGGAAAAAGCAACAGGTGAATTTCTCAGATGAGGAGAGGGAGACCCATCCCCTGCAGCCCTGTGCGGTGTGAGGTCTGAGCAGCTGGAGATGAACTGTACCCCAGTGGATCAGGAGCTGCTAGTGGTGTGGAGTCAGTCTTCACTGCTGCTGCCTGTGCTGGCTATAGATCCCGAGGTGACACAGAAGCCAGTGCAGGCTCCCCCCTCCCCCTGCTCCTGGATCTCTCTTGACACCTGTTGTGGTGGATTGCATTTTCGACCCTAGAGGAGACAAGAGAGGGGCAAGAGAAAAACCTCCTCCACAAGTGCCCTTCCCTGTGTCTTTCCCAATGCAGAGAAAGCCCCTTCCTGTGAGAGAGAGGCCTCAAGTACTATGCCCAGAGCAGGAGGCCATCCTCTCTTGGTTGTGCCCCCATTCATGGTCCCAAATACTTCTTTGCCCCTAATCCAACAGCAGCCTCTGGAGCCTCCTCCTGGTGGGACCCAGCCTGATCTGGCTGCCACATCCTCAAGCACCCAGCCAGGCCTCCTCACCCTTGGGGTCCTACTCAGAGGGGTTCTAATTGGGTCAGGAGTCTGTCCACTTGCAGAACAAGATCTGAGTTGGGCAAGTTGATGAGCACATAGGCCATGAGCTAGTTCAGCCTGGCCAGGTCTGGGCACTGGCAGAAGTCTCCTGGGTTTTTGACCAACCAGGTCTCCAGGATGGAGCACAGGGTGCTGGGGACAGGAGGGGGCATAGAGTGAGAAGTCTGGCTTCTCCCATGACCTAGCCTGTCTTGGACCCTGAGGGAGGGCTGAAAGGCATGGCCTGCCCTTCCGTGAGCAGCTGGGCTGAGGGCAGAGGTATAGGTTCCACACTGAACAGTCTTGGCCCACACCTCCTACACAGAGTCTATCCAGGAGTAGGCATACCTGGCTGGGCCTGGGCTGTGTGGGAATGGATCCTCACAGGGACCTGCCCTGGGCACTGGGCTTGCCATGCTCCCTGCATGCCCTAGACCCAAGCCACAGCTCTGTCCTCCTCCTCTAGGCACAGCCCCAGACCCCAGCCCTCCAGCAGGAAGCAGTGAAAAGTGTGTGACCTGGGTTTCCTCAGCCCACTCTGAGCTCAGTTCCCCAGATATACCCCACTCTGGAGAGTGGAGCCTGCCCTGTCAGACCCAAGCCCTCACCTTTGGTTTTGCTTGTTCTTCTCACAGTTGGGGTGGAAGAACCCATTCCTGTAGGGGCCAGTAGGGTGTGGCCTTTTAGAACTCAGTATCCCCACATCCCAGGAGATCTTAAGTGGTCCATTTGATGGCAGGGTGGGGAGAGAAACGGGAAGCTGAAAGGATTGTCTGTGCTGCTCCCTGAGTGGCCAGGAAGTATAAGGAAAGGTGCCCCCCACAGTAAGTGCTTTGTACACATGTGGAGTGACAGCCCCACTAACTCTGCCTGGATATCTCAGTATGTTGGGGTGCACAGTCTGCCTCAGGACACCCCATGCTGGATTCCTCTAGGTAGGAAGCTAGGAAAGCAAAGCCCAGGTAGACAGCTCCTTCCTGGGCCAGGGCAAGTTTCCCAGCCTCAGGCCTCACCCTGCACAGAGCCAGACCTGGGGGAGGTGCTGGTGGGCCTCAGCCCACTTGGTCCTGACTACTCCATCTGAGGGATTCCTCAGAGAACCCCGGTTCCCACAGGGCAAATTGGGGCATGGAATGGTGCATGGGATTCTGAAGAGCCACCCAGGAGTTGGTGAGTCCCCAGGGCCGGGAGGTGGGGGAGCAACTTTGGAAGAGCAGGTCCAGCACCTGCTGCATGCTGGTGAACCTTCTGTAGGTGAACAGGAATGCAGGCACCAAGAAGGGTTCCCCGAGGCGATGCGCGGGCACCACAAGGTTCACCAGCCTCTTTGATGTGCCTGGCTCCAGCGTCCTGACTGCCAGTCTCCTCCATGTTCAAGGTGAACTCTTTTTATCCTCATTTGGGACCAAGGAGGGATAGTTCAAGCTTGGAAACAGCAGGAACTTGGAAGCAATCACCATCCACATGAAAGTCCCCTTGAATTTCACACACCCACACCCACATATGCACACTCAAAGCCACACAGCCAAGGCAGGGATCGGGGCCCACCCAGGGCCATCAGCATGATGGGCTGCCTGACTCACCTGCTCTGGGCTGTCCCATGCTACCTTTGTTATCTTTGGGTTCCTTCCCCAGAGGTGCCAGGGTTGACAGCTGTCCCAGAGTGTCCACATGTGGGCAAGGCCCCCACTCCACCATTTCCTATGGCCTGAGCCTAGGCAATTTGGGAAGCAGCATGACCACATAGTCCTAGTGTTTCAGTCTCTGCACGAGGAACTGGATCCCACCAGCCTCCAGGACTCCACATTCTGTTTGGTAGCTTGGTCTGTTGTCAAGGAAGTGAGGTCACTTCCTGCATAAATTCCTGTGTCGCCCTCAATAAACTGCATCTGCAAAATCATCCCAGACTGCTGACTGTTCCTTCCCACCCTGCATGTGCAAAACTGGATACACGTGGCCCAACCCACCCTGCACTACTATCTGCTTACATCCCCAGCTCAGCCAGCTCCCTCCTGGTGGGCAGAAACAGCTGGTTTAAGAACCAGGCCCTCTCAGTGTTCAAGTTTTGAGGGCCTGTGGTCAAGGATGAGAGTGAAGTTTGGGTGAGGGTTAGGGGGAAGGGTTCAGCGGTGGGGTAGTGCTGTGTCTAGGGGTCTTATTAGGGTTAGGGTGAGTGTCAGGGCAAGGCCTTGAAGTGGGATTGAATGGGTTTGAGTGTAGCAGGGTGGCTCAGGCAACTGAAATCAGGTTAGGTGGAGACTTTACATTAAACTCAGAGTGTTTAGGTTATGCGTCATGGAAGGATTCATGGTAAGGCTATGCCTATTAGGATTTCTTCATGCTAATTTTAGGGCTAGGGTTTTGGTTAGTGGCCATGTTGTGTAGTTGTGTATGATTTTAATCACTAAACACATTGATAATACATTCAATTGGATTGTGAGGAAATGTAGGGTTAGGATTCGGGAGTGTCAGGTGAGGATGAAGCTGAGGATGAAGATAATGTTTGTCTAAGGGTTAAGGTAAGGTTTGGCCACAGGGTAAGGGAGAGTGTTGTTTTTAGAGTGAGTATAAGGGTTAGAGTGAAGATGAAGTTTAGGGATTAGGATTAGTGTTGGGGTTTACCTTCAGTCTTATGTACAGGATAGTATTAGGGTTTCAGGTTAGTGCACTGTTTAATCTTTACTATTGGGGTTAGTGGTTAGAGTGAAGTTTAGAATTGGGTATAAGGATGAGGGTGTATGTTAGGTCAGGTTTTAGGCTTAAGGGAGCCAGTAGGATTACGAATGGGGTTGGGATACCTGTTGGATTGGGGTTGGTGTTTGTGTTGAGGTTGTGGACAGTGTTAAGTTTTGAGGATGAGAATTTTGAGTGTGTAGTTAGAGTTAACAAATACATTTAGCTTTTAAGCTTAGGGTGAGTTATTCAGTTTGGGGTGAGCAAGAGGGTTGTGGTGAGGTTTAGTGGTAGGATGAGGATTGAGGTGTGAGTTAGGGTTTAGGCTTAGGGATCGGGATTAGGGTCAGGGTGAGATTCAGGGCTAGAGTTAGTTTTCAGTTTTGTTTTGCATTAGTGTTACATGTAATATGGTTAGCCTTTCTGTTAGAGTTGTGTTCAGGCACTGGGTTTAAGATTAGGGTTAGTTCAGTGGGTTAGTGTTAGGCTTATGATTTAGGGTTGTGGTCAGGTTGAAGGTTTAGGTTTTAGTTCAGGGTTAGATTGATGGGTCAGTATGAAGGGCAAGATTAGGGTATCAAAGTATTATCTACAATATCAAACTTGGCAGGGTCCTTGCTTTTCAATTTTACCAATATCTGGGGAATTTTGGGTTTTAGTACTTACATGGCCTTCATTCTTACTAACAGTCTCATCCTTCATTCTTACTAACTTAGTCTCAATGCTGTTGACTTGCAGTTTATTCTTTTTAATATCTCTCACTCCACCATCTCTTTTGGCCTGAGCCTAGGTAATTTGGGAAGCAACATAACATATATCCTTCCTGTTGTTCAGACTCTGCATGAGTAACTGACTCCCACCAGCCTTCAGGGCTCCAAGATCTGTTTGTTCCATTGTCAAGGAAATGAGGTCACATCCTGGGGTCCCCTCTCCAACCTGCTTCTATGAAGTCACCTCACATTTTTGACTGCCCGTTCCCACCCTACCTTATGCAAATTGGAAACATTCACCCCAACTGACCCTGCATTACTTTCTGCATGCAGGCCTTAGTGTTGCAGTTTCCAAGTTAGGATAAGGTTTAGTATTTTTTGTAGGGATCAGAGTGCTGAGGAGGTGAGCTTCTCGGACCTCAGTATCACACCCCCCAATCCCACTTGCCAACCCCCCCCCCCGCGCTGAGAAACATAATGTCCCCCCAAGCACAGGGATGGTGAACCCCTGGGTCCCTGTAGCAGTGGTTCATAGCACCGGGGAGGTGAGTCTCTGGGGCCACCATGGCATCGGCCCTACCACTGAGGAGCACAGAACCCACCACCCCACACCAGCACTGTGGAGTCAAGCCACTGGGGGCTCCATGCCACTGCCCCTGACTGCCGACCAGCAGAGCCTGCTATGGCCAAGGAGGTGAGCCACTTGACCATGCATACCACAGCCTCCAGGAGGTCCAAATAGCAGACCTGCCCCCCACCACAGCTCGCCAACGAGGTGAACCACTCAGGCTTCCATACTACCACCCCCAAGTGCAAAGTAGCAGAGCCTCACCAGCACAGAATAGGTGAGGCTACAGGTCCTTGGTACCATGGCCCCTGTACTCTGAGGAGCATAGCCCCGCTAGTGTGGAGGAGGTGAAGTTAGAGGCCCTGGGCACCACAGCCTCCAAATTTCGTGGAGTGGAGTCCCGCTATTGTCCTGGATGTGGGCCTCAGACCTGCCTACCACAGCCCCCAAGGGCTGAGCAGAACCACTCTGGCTCCCCCGGCCCCCACCCCCTTCCCCACCCCAACACCAACCAGGTGAGCCTCTCGTATCTCCATAGCATCATCCCCGAGTGCCAAGGTTCAGAGCCCTGCCAGCACAGAGTAGGTGAGGCTCCAGGCCTTGGGTACCACAGACGCTGTACTCTGAGGAGCTCAGCCCAGTTAGTGCGGAGGAGCTGAGGCTCAAGCCCCTTGGCACTACAGTCCCTGAACTTCATGGAGCAGAGTCCCACTGGTGCCCAGGATGTGAGCCTCTCTGATCTGCCTACCAGAGCCTTCAAGTGGCAAGGAGCAGAAGTGCCTTGGATTCCCTGGCCCCCACCCCCTCCCCCCTCGTGCCAATGAGAGGAGGTTCTGCCCCCATAGCAACATCCTGAATTCCAATGAGCAGAGCCCTTCAGGCACAGACTAGGTGAGGCTGGGGGCCCTGAGTACCACAGCCCCTGAATTCCAAGGAGCAGAGCTGTGCTAATAGACAGGAGGTGAGCCAAGCTGGAGCCACCAGCACCCCACCCCCACTCCCCTCCAGAAGCTGTACAGAGCCATTACCTGAATCCATTCCAAAGCCTTGCAGGGGTTATACAGGACATTGTTCTAAGCTCCAGAAGGGAGAGCAGAGGTCAACAACAGAAAGAGGGTTTCTCTGACACTTTTTGATGAAAATATTGTAGGATTTAACACTAAGGTTGAAGCGTAGGGTTGGATATTAGGATTAGGTTTTATGATAGGATAGGATTTAGTGGTAGGGTGTGTGTTAGGGTTATGGTTAGGGTCGGGCTTAGCATTGGATCTGGGTTGCTATTGGGCTTGAACTTGGGGTTCATGTTAGATTTAGGGGTAGGAATACCATTGGGTTTTAGCTTCAGTGTTATGTACAGCATAGTATTAGGCTTTCATGTTAGGGTACTGCTTAATTTTTACGATTGGGGTTAGTGGTTATGGTGACATTTAGAATTGGGTATAAGGATGAGGGTGTATGCTAGGTTAAGATTTAGGCTTAAGGGAGGCAGTAGGGTTACGATTGGGGTTGGGATCCCTTTTCGATTTGGTTTGATGTTTGTGTTGAGGTTGTGCTCAGTGTTAAGTTTTAAGGATCAGGCTTCAAGTTTGTAGTTAGTGTTAACAAATACGTTTAGGGTGTAGGCTTAGGGTGAGAGTGAGTATTCCGTTTGGGGGTTAGGGTGAGCAAGAGGATTGTGGTGAGGTTTAGTGTTAGGATGAGGATTAGGATGCGAGTTAGGGTTCAGGCTTAGTGTTTGAGGTTAGGGTCAGGGTGAGTTTCAGGGCTAGAGTTAGTTGTATTCAGTTTTGGTTTGCATTAGAGTAATATGTAATATTACAGTTAGCCTTTCTGTTAGAGTTGTGTTCAGGCACTGGGTTTAAGATTAGGGTTAGTCCAGTGGGTTACTGTTAGTGTTATGATTTAGAGGTGGGGTCAGGTTGAAGGTTTTGGTTGTAGTTCAGGGTTAGATTGATGGGTCAGTGTGAAGGGCAAGATTAGGGTATCAGAGATTGTTATCTACAATAACTAATTTGGCAGGGTCCTTTTCAACTTTACGAATATCTGGGGAATTTGGGGTTTTAGCTCTTACATGGCCTTTGTTCTTACTAATTCTCAATGGTGTTGACTTGTAGTTTATTTTTTATAATCTCTCTCACTCCACCACCTCTTTTGGCCTGAGCCTAGGTAATTTGGGAAGCAAAACAACATATATCCTTCCTGTGGTTCAGTCTCTGCACGAATACCTACATCCTACCAGCCTCTGGTCCTCCAAGTTCCATTTGTTCTGTTCTCAAGGAAGTGAGGTCACTTCCAGCATCCCCTCTCCAACCTGCTTCTATGAAGTCACCTCATGATGTTGACTACCCCTTCCCAACCTGCCTTATGCAAATTGGACACATTCACCCCAACTTACCCTGTGCTACTATCTGCATGCAGGCCTGAGAGACAGTTGGTTTAAGAACCAGGTGGTCCTTTATATTTTTAAGGTTTAGGGACTATGTTCAATAATTAGAGTGAGGTTTTGGCCAGGTTTATCTTGCAGGGTTTACCTTCTGGTTAATATTATGTCTAGACCTCTGGTTAGGCCTAGGGCAAGCTTGAGGGTAAGGCCTTGAAACAGGTTCATGTGTTAAAGTCTGGGTTAGGATTATGTGTCTTTTAAGGGTTCCTGTTAGGGTGAGGTCTTTTGAGACTTGTTGATTGATAATTTTAGAGGCAAGGTTTTGCTTAGTGGCCATGGTGTGTAGTACTGTCAACACAGATGGTGATGACGAAATCATATTGCAGTGTGAGGAAGTGTAATCTTTGTCCTGAGGGACACTGTCATGGTGTGGGCAAAGGTCTAGGGTGATGGTGAGGAGTGGGTTCAGTATTAGGTTTAAGGTGAGAATTGGTGAAAGGGTCAGTGTCATCATTGTTTTTAGCTTGAATATAAGTGTAAAGTGAGGATCAACATTAGAGGTTATGGTTGGTATGTGGGTTGAGCATCACAATCATGATTCTCATAGAGTGTTGCAGTATTCAAGTTAGGGTAAGGTTTAGGTTTTTTTTAGGGATCAGAGCACCTAGGAGGTGAGCTTCTCAGGCCTCAGTACCACAGCCCCCAAACCTGCTCTCCACCCCACCCCGTGCTGAGGAACAGAGTGCCCCCCCAAGCACAGAGGTGGTGAGCTTCTGGGGCCCCTGTAGCAATACCTCGTAGCACCAAGGAGGTGAGTCTCTGGGGCCACTATGGCATTGACCCTACCAGTGAGGAGCACAGAACCCCACACCCCATGCCAATGCTGTGGAGTTGAGCCACTGGGCCCTCCATTCCACTGCCCCTGAGGGCCAACCAGCAGAGCCCCGGTAGGACCGAATAGGTGTGCCACTTGGCCCTGCATACCACAGCCTCCAGGACGTCCAAGTTGCAGACTCGTGCCCCACCCCAGCATGCCAAAAAGGTGAGCCTCTAACACTTCTGTAGCTCCACCCAGGAGTACAAAGGAGCAGACCCTGGCCAGCACAGATTAGCTGAGGCTCCAGGCCCTGGAGACCATGTCCCTGAAACTCCGAGGGGCAGATCCCCACTAGTGCAGAGGTGGTGAGACTCGAGGCCCTCAGTATCCCAGCACCCGAACTTTGTGGAGCAGAGTCCTACTATTGCCCTGGATGTGAGCCTTTGACCTGCCTACCACAGCCCCTGAGGGCTGAGGAGCATACCAGCCCTGGCTCTCCCAGGCCCCTTCCCCCCTGCACCCCCATGCAAACCAGGTGAGCCTCTCATGCCTCCCTAGCTCCATCCCCGAGTGCCAAGGAGCAGAGCCCTGCCAGCACAGAGTTGGTGAGGCTGGAGGTCCTGGGTAATACAGCCCCTGAACTCCAAGGAGCAGAACCCTGCTAGTTCGGAGGAGGTGAGCCATGCTGGAACCACCAACATGCCCACCCCCACCTCCCTCCAGAGGTGGGGGGGCAGAGCCATTACCTGAATCCATTCCAAAGTCTTACAGGGGTTATATGAGACATTGTTCTAAGCTCCAGAAGGGAGAGCAGAGGTCAACAACAGAAAGACAGTCTCTGACACTCTGATGAAAATATAGGGTTTAGCAGTAAGGTTGAAGGGTATGGTTGGATATTAGGATTAGGTTTTATGATAGTTTAGGCTTTATTGGTAGGGTGCAGGTTAAGGTTATGGCTAGGGTTGGGCTTAGCATTGCATGTGAGTTGGTATTGGGCTTGAACGTGGGATTCGTGTTAGACGTTAGGGGTTAGGATTACCATTGGGGTTTAGCTTCAGTGTTAGATACAGGATAGTATTAGGGTTTCAGGTTAGGGTACCATTTAATTTTTACTCGGGCTTAGTGGTTAGGGTGAAGTTTTGAATTGGATATAAGGATTAGGGTGTATGTTAGGTTAGATTTTAGGCTTAAGGGAGGCAGTAGCGTTAGGATTGGGGTTGGGATCCCTGTTGGATTTGGTTTGGTGTTTGTGTTGAGATTGTGCTCAGTGTTAAGTTTTAAGGACCAGGATTTGAGTTTGTAGTTAGAGTTAACAAATGCATTTATCATTTAGGCTTAGAGTGTGAGTATTCAGTTTGGGGGTTAGGGTCAGCAAGAGGGTTGTGGTGAGGTCTAGTGGTAGGATGAGGACTAGGGTGCCAGTTAGGGTTCACACTTAGGGTTTGGGGTTAGGGTCAGGGTGAGTTTTAGGGCTAGAGTTACTTGTATTTAGTTTTAGTTTGTGTTAGACTTAGATGTAATATTATGTTTAGCATCTCTATTATATTTGTGTTCAGGCATTGGGTTTAAGAGTAGGGTTAGTTTAGTGGGTTACTATTAGCATTATGATTTAGGGTTGGTCAGATTGAAGGTTTAGGTTGTAGTTCAGGGTTAGATTGATGGGTCAGTGTGAAGGGCAAGATTAGGGTATCAGCGAGTGTTATCTACAATATTGAATTTGTCAGGGTCCTTCCTTTTCAATTTTACAAGTATCTGGGGAATTTTGGGGTTTTCTTACAGGGCCTTCATTCTTACTAAGTTAGTCTCAATGTTGTTGACTTGCAGTTTATTCTTTGTAATCTGTCTCCACCATCTCTTTTGGCCTGAGCCTAGGTAATTTGGGAAGCATCACAACATACATCCTTCCTGTGGTTCAGTCTCTGTGCAAGTAACTGACTCCCACCAGCCTCCGGGGCTCTGATTTGTCAGGGAAGTGAGGTCAGTTCTGGGGGTCCCCTATCCAACCTGCTTCTATGAGGTCACCTCACACTG